TTTTTTTTTTTTTTTTTTTTTTTTTTTTTTTTTTTTTTTTTTTTTTGACCTTGTTTGGTTTTCCCCATTTTGCTACTTCTGTATGATAAAGTTATGATATTGATGATTTATTGAGTATACTATTCAATCGAACAATGTTGTACCAAATCGACCGATTTCTATATGAATGTTGAGTAAGTAAGTGGTAATGATATTGACATAGTAACCAAAGAACATTAATTGAAGAAAAAAAAAAAAGGGATAAATGCGTATTATCGAGTGAATAGCTACGTTTGGATGGCAAGGTTGAATTGAATTGACAACTATTTGGAGTGAGAATTACAATTGAAGAGCGAATTACAGTTACAATTGAAAAGAGAATAAAAATTGTTTACATTGGAAATTTGAAAGGACAAAATGCTGAGTGGTGGGAATACATTTCTTTTTCGCGTTTGGCACTTTTACAATAAAAACAAGTTGATGTAGCAGGGCATGACGTGGCGAGGTGTGTCGCCCTTAGCAGGCACCTCTCGCAACGGTCACGCTCGAACAAGCAACGGCGTCTGTCGCGGAGGTTGTAGAAGCGCCCGCAATCGCAGGCGTAGTGGTCACCGTCGCAGAACGCGCACCTTTTAGTAGCAGGTACTGCGACGGCCCAGCTTGGGCCTGGTTGCATGGCCTGGGCGTACGGGTCGTCTTGTCCTTGTCCTTGTCTTGCGAAGGCTTGCGTTTGAATCTCATTGAGGATTTGTTTTTGAAGGTTATACACTTTGACGAGTCCCTCCATTGCTTCGTCCATGAGATCCTTGAGTGACTGGACGTTGTGTTCTACCACGTGTACTTCACGCTGGAAATGTTGACTAGAGTTATAAATGGTTGACGATCATTTAATCAAAATTTGACTTAATTCGGAGGCGGTACCTTATCAATTTTGCGTTTTTTCTGTTGTTGTGGAGTATTTTCCATTAGAGGGGGTTTATCGTCCCGTGTATGTTTTGCCTTTTTTGGAAATGTCCTCTTTTTCTTAAAGAAGGTTATTAAACGCGCAAAAAGTCCTTCTAAACTTGAGGTTGATTGGTGCAAAATTGATAGGTTCGAATCAAGAAGGGAGGTATACAAAGGGGAATTCCAGAATAAAGTAATTGAAAGTTTGATATTGAAACAAGAAGGTAATTTGAATATAAGGGTACTTACATGGATCATGTCGATCCTGTTCTTCATTGAGCCAATGGCGTCTGTGCGACCGAGAATCCTTTGAATTTTGCCATGCATCAGTGATAGGTCCTCTTCTTCGGGTATTTCCCGTCGGAGTCCTCCGAAATCGAATGCTGGTTGTTCTTGGGCTTGCCGTTGTTGTTGTTGTTGTGGTTGTTGTTGTTGTTGTTGCGGCTCTTGATTTGGTTGCTCTTCTTCTTGTGGTTGTTGTTGATCTTGGTGTTGGTTGTCTTGATTGTTGTCGGGCTCCGCGGGTACTTCTTCTTCAACAACATTCTGTTCTTCTTCTGCCATTGCTGAAATTTGACTTTTCTAACTTAGTTACGGAATACCTTTAATTGATAAATACGGTAAACGTGGAGAGTTGGAGTAGCTTATGCATTAAAAATTTTACGAACATAAAGGGCAGACGTATAGTATAAGAAACTAAAAGGAAGAGTCGCTTGAAAATGAGAATTAAAAGCGAGCAGGCGAGAGACATTGGGAATGGTAGGAGGAATGTCGGTGTTGAGGATCGAGAAGCTGGCGTTGATGTTTTTGTTGTACTTGAGCATAGATACGCTATGCTGATAGCCATGAGAAACGGCATGATGATGAGAACTGTAACGGTGAACAGGAAAAAGGCCTTGCATATTGCAAGGAAATGGTGAAAATCTGGAAGGTTCAATGATAGGTCAAAGGTGTAGTCATCTTGAATGGTGTTGTTCCATTGCTTTGTATAATTCCACAAGGGTCTTAAACCGGTGATGTAATTTAGGGTACCCTTGAGTTCGAATATCATTGTTTGAGACCCGCATTGGGCTTGACATTGTTCTTTGATGCGCGCACTGTTGAAGAATAGACGTATTTGGTTTGTTTTTCCCTGTCTTGTGCATGTGAGTACGAACTGTTGCGTTCCGCACGTCGCCTGTGCTATTGCGTGCTGCACATCTGCCGCGCAACTGATTTTGGCCTCTGCTCCCTTATAGCAGTCGTAACACCCGCCGAAACTAATTGGTATAATAGTGCAATAGAAATCCACTATCAGTTGTTCTATTTGAAAGCTTGTTGGATCAAGGTGTATTGCTAGCTCTGAGGCAAATGTACTTGTATGAATTTGGGGTATCTGTTTCGGTCCTGCTATAATGACTCCATTTGGAATGGGAAGTGGTAGTACATTGGGTAAGTGGCGTAGGTGTGAGACGTCGTTGTGCATGCAATAGCACGATATTGAGTCTTCTGCAGGGTTGCATTTGCAAGTGTCTTTTATGGCACATGTTGAAGTGGAGTTGTTCAAAGGGGAAGGGTTGTTAGTGCATGCGTAGCTAAATGTAGCGTCGTCATCTAAATATGCGGTTGTCTTGTTGTTGGTTAGGAAGCGTTTGTATTGAATGGCTATTGAAGAGCTAGAGAAGGATGTTACTTCTATTTTGGTGTTAGCGAGGGTACGAATGGTGTAAGGTTTGATTTCTCCTGTGAATACTCTGTGCGCGTCGTGAGTATGGGTTTGTTCGATTTTGAGTTTGACAGTTTCATGCCACGTGGGGCAGTGAAATACCTCGTAGATTTCCTTGTCTTTTGGGGTGTGATAAATTCGATAGAAAAGGCACCCTGACGACGGAAAGCCGCATGAGCATCCCCATCCACCACATGACTCTGTGCAATAGGTTATTCCGGGGAAGTTGTTAGCAACGTCGAGTTCTTTAACCAGGGTGTCGGGTGAGATTGCTGTGCATTTTGATCCTATGCAAGAGCCCATATGTGGACATCGTTTGCGGGACTGCACGTGTGTTTCGGTATTTTGAGTGAAGTAAAGTGTCTCTTTTTGACATTTGAGTATAAGTTTTTCCACCGTTATTTTCATGAGGTGTCGACGAAGATTTTTGTGCTCTGCTTGTAAGCATAGTTCGGTTTGCATGGTATTGAATTTGGCTATTATTGTAGTGATGTTATCACAGTTATGAGTTCTTGAGTTACATTGGCTGATACTTGAGGGAACAAGGATCACTTGTTGGCATGCGTGAAGTTGTTGGGAGATGGCGCAGATGGCCAAAAGTCGGATGAATGTTGAAGATTTCCACCTCTTGTTATTTTCGTTATTGATTTGAATCAATGGAATAGATTGTGTTGATGAGTTGCGTCGGGGTCTTCGTTGAAAAGGGCAGGAATTCTTTGCGGCGGTAAAGATGTTTTTTATGGTTCTCATTCCTCTAGATATTTTCCTCACGGTTTGACATAGCAAATATATTGTTATGAGCGTTGTGTAGAATAACGCAGCGGTTAGTACAATTGCTAGCCGAGGCCAGCATTCTGGATTGGTTATCATTTGGGAGCAGAGTGTGCACTGAATCTGCTCACAAAAGGGACTCGGCGAACATGCCCAGTGAAAGGCATGTGTGGAATTGTCTAACAGTGTTTTGACTAATACGTGATAAGTATGAAGAGTAATTTCTGCTGGAAATTGAGCTGTAATTAATTTGTCGGGATTTTGTATTTCTATACAGTAATCATTCGCGCAAACCTGCATTCGATCTGGCTGACCGTATGTTCGAATAATTACGCCGCCTTTTGTGCATTGGATTACGTCGTGTTCGTTCTTTGTGTTCATTCGCGAGTGCGCGTTTCCGCATAGACTGGCAAATAAAGTGAGCATGAGTAACCCCTGCCAATTTAAGCTTGAGCGACTCGCGTGCGCGGAGTTGTCTTGTAACTGGATGGCGTTCACGCGATAGCTCTTTTGTTCTTTTGCGCGCCGTGGTAGCCACGGTCTAGTTCGATTGGTCATATTGTTCATATTGTTGCTTTGCGGGGCGCTAGTCTCGCAATGTTTTTTACTGCTGTTTGCGCATGCTTGTGGTGTATCCATTGATTCGTTGTCGTTGTTATTGCATTGATTATCTTCTACTTCTAATGGGATGAGTAGGTTTATTGATCTCGTTATGTTGGACTTTGCCGTTTTGAGGTCAACAGATCGAACGTAACCGTCTTGATCCTGTATTAACTTTGTGACCAATCCTAGGGGCCATTCACCACGTGGAGTGTTTTCTTCCATGATGAGCACGACTTCGCCGACGTGCGGCTGCTTTCTTGTGAAACTTTTTTGCTTTATGCGCGTTTGATGGAAGCTACGCAATTCTAGTAGGTAGTTGACCGTCCAGAACTTCCACAAGTTGTTTAGATATCGGGTATGTCGCTGAAAGAGTTGAGTTGTTTCCGCTCGCGACGAGATGAAAGGACAGTAGTCAGGATCCTCTGAGTCGGTTTCTGTAGAGGGTAAAAGATTCACGTTCGCGTAGGGAATAATGAAATCGATCGGTCGAAGAACGACTGAATCGTCTACTGTGCTACCGGAGTAAGTGAGTGGTCTTGTGTTAACCATAGCTTCGCATTCTGGTACCACTGTAGCGAACTCGTATTCATGTATTGCCTTGCGTCTTGATGTCTTTTTGAGAATTGATTTCATTATTCCTATCATGCGTTCGTAGAAACCTCCTTTCCAGGGGGAAAGTGGGGTGAGAAACTTCCATTTTATTCCTTCGTTAGAGAGGGAATTTTGAATATGTTGCTTTGATGCTTCGAGTTCATTGCTTGAAGCTTTGAGAATTTCGCATCCTGAAGTAAAATTAGTTGCATTATCCGAGATTATAAGGGCTGGTTTTCCTCTCCTCGCTACAAAACGGCGTAGGCCATTAAGAAATTCTACCGCACTCAGGTTATTCACTATTTCCAAGTGTACTGCTCTTGTTACCATGCAGGTGAGAAGCAGTATCCATTTCTTTTGCTCGGCGTTCTCTCCCACGATCACTTGAAAGGGGCCGGCGAGCTCGATGCCGACATGGAGAAAGGGTCGCGATGGTTGTGTTCGTGATTGCGGTAGTGGGGGAGAATTCGGGTAGAAATATGGCTTAGAATTCCATTTTTTACAAGTTAAGCACGCTCTTAAGCATTTCTTCACCTGTTGTCTTCCTTTTGGGATCCAGTAGTTCAATCGGAGATTTGCCAATGTTCCATTGACACTCTGGTGTCCGCATCGACGATGGATGTCCTCAATGAGTAGAGCAGTAAGATGATGATCTTCTGGAAGAAGTATTGGTTCTCGGGTTTCTTCAGCTAAATGTTTAGCCTGAATTCTACCTCGGCATCTAATGATACCGTTCGGATCTGTATATAATTGTAAATTGTGTAGTTTCGTGGACCTTTGCGTTCGTATTGTCTTTTGTGCGTACCGTATCATGAGCTTTTCAGCTTGTGATAGGTCAAGGGACTGTATTGATGTCAAAGGCCGACTCTCTGTCATGTGAGCGATTTCAGGTAGAGCATTCTTGAGTATTTCTTTATTTTTTATTGAAATTTTGTTATAAATAGCACTTTTGAGGAATTTTAAAACGAGGGTCACTGTTCTTTTTAACTTTCTGATTGACGAGAACTTGCTTTCAAATAATATCGGCGATTGTTGCTCTTTGGCGGATTTCATGGTTAGAACGGTAAGGTTGCTTTCGGCGCTGGAGTTTTGTGTGTTATCTTCTATTTTCCACGAAAATTCTGGTAGATCGGGCCATTGGGACCTGGGTTTGAGTAGAAAAGGTGGGCCTGTCCACCAGATGTGATTCTTCAGTTGTTCTCTAGTTAGGCCTTTTGTCGCGCAGTCTGCAGGATTCAATTCAGATGGTATGTAAAGCAAATGACAAAGGATGCCATTGTCTGTCCACTCCTGCATTTTTTTTCGGATCTCTTGACAGCGGTTGTCGACAAAGGTCCCCATTTTTGTTTTCGATTGAACCCAGCTAAGAACTACTTGGGAATCGCTAAAAACGTAAATTTCTTTTAGAGCTAGACGGACTTCCTTCAATACAAAGTTTGCTAAGCGAATTCCAATTAGGAGTGCTAATAGTTCCAGTCTTGGGATCGTTACAGTTTTCGCTTGTTGATTGAGCGGAGCCGGCCGTTGTCTTGCCATTACTAAGGTGCTCCGGATAGCCTCGTCGCTATTGATCGTACGTAAATAAACTGCTGCCGCGAACGACCGTATCGATGCGTCGACGAATGTCATCAGTTCGCAGTGATGCTTTATTGTGAAAGTTGCGATAACACGAGGGATCGAACATACGAACCCAGCCGCTTGTTCATAGATTGTTTTCCACGTTTCGGTGAGAGGGGAGGAAAGCGATTCGTCCCAATTGTATTTGTGTTTCCATAGGTCTTGAAGGAAAAGCTTTGCTTTTAAAAGTAACGGTATAAGCCATCCTAACGGGTCGAAGGTCGAGTGGGTCAGTTGCAGTACTTTGCGCTTTGTTAAAGTTGAAGAATGCTTTAGTTTACAAGTGATTGAAAGGATATCGGTCTTGTGATTCCATGGTATACCTAGGATTTTAATCGAGTTGGTGTTTGAAAGGTCGGAAGGTTGTATTGATTGATTGCAGATGTCGTCATTTGTGATGAACTGGCGTAGGTTCATTGCCATATTATTGAAAATCTGTTTGCTCAGTTGACATTTTCGAAGGAGAGATTGAGTCGAATCGTCTGTTAGAAGGACATTGTCCACGTAAAGATTGTCATTAAGTTGGATTTGAAAATCTTTATCGAGATTTGACTGTTTTTCAATGCCATATCTAATGGAAATCCCTAGTAGGAATGGTGAAGCGTTTATGCCGAATGGTAGTCGACAAAATCGCAGTATCTGAAGATTGTCTGGAGTTGGGGGTTGAGAGGTATTCTTCAGCCATAAGAATCGGACCGCGTCTCTTTCTGTTTCTTGCAAATGAATCATGTGAAACGCCTTTTCTACGTCTGCTATCATGATTTTGGATCCTATTCTTGACCTGATGAGAACGCCACATAAGTTGGGTAGTATGAGAGGTCCCTGATGGATTACGTCATTGAGACTAAGTTCCCCTTTCTTTTTGGAAGAGGCGTCGAGAACGATGCGCGTCTTGGTTGTGGCCTTTTCCGATTTGATAACTGCTTGATGAGGGATGTAGTAGCATGGCGTGTTGCTCCCGGTGGGGAACCGGGGGGCCTCTTCAATAAATTTTTTCTTGAGTTGATCCTCAATTATAGTACAATACTCCTTCCAACACTGAGGGTTACGCTCCTTCATTTTGAATAGTTGATGAAGTCGGCTTAAGGCGAGTGTGTAGTTGTTGGCAAGGCGCATTTTGTTTGGCTTCCAAGGGAAACACACAAAAATGCTGTTGTCTTTGACTTGAACTTTTGAATAGAAATCTGCTATGATTTGGTTGTTTATTTCTTCATCGGAAGTCATATCTTCGATTCCTATTGTATGAAGCTTCCACAAGTCCGATATGTCAATTTGATTGCCGTTTGAATCGAGGATAGTGCATGAATTGATGACCCGTTTGCTGAAATAGCTTCTCTCATGTTGTCCATGATCAAATTGAGGTGCACCTGATATCACGGGACCGAAGAAAGTGTGCGTGAGGAGGAGTCCTGACGGAAGACGGAGGACAGGCTCGTCGAGCTGCATGACCGAATTGAAGTAATCCATTCCTATGAGTATTCCGGGGATTACTGTATCATTATTCATTTCCAAGAGTCTGAGCACTTCGTCCTCGGAGAGGTGTTCGCGGATGAAGAGCTCGTCTTCTCGAAGTACTGACCCCATCTGGAGAGGGGGTGTAATTTGATCATTTGTCAGAAGTTCGACGTTTATGAAGTCTCCTTCCGCGTTGAATAGTGAGGTGATTACTCTCTTAGTTTTTCTCTTCTCAGCTTTTCCTCCAAAGGTATTCACTATGATTGTAGCTTCGCTCTTTATATTGAGATTTAGTGTATGAGCGAGTGATGTTGTTATGAAGGATTGATCTGACGCAGAATCTAACAGAGCTATTACTGTTGTCTTCTTTTGATCGTGATCCGTTTGAAGCTGTACCGGAACCATCATCAATCGTACAGCACTGCTGTTTGTGAACGTATCGGTGAATCTGTCTTCTATGTCGTTGTTGTCTTCTATCTGCCTTTCTTGTACTTGTAAGTTGACCGTCACGCTCTCAGAGGAGCGACGTCGTGGTTTAGGCGAATGATGGAATCGTACTTGACGTTGCTGATTTTGAAGCGGTGAGTGTTCACGTTCGGGTGTGATCTTCTCGCCAGGCCTTCTTGACGATGGTTGAGGTGATACTCTCTGCGGGGATTTGTCATATCTACTTGGCGTGAGATCCTTCCTTCTGTTGAAGCTATTGTTGGGCGAGTAACTTCTGCTCTGGACTGGTCTTCTTGGAGAATAACACTTTTGACGTGTGCTGCCAGGCCAGTATTTCTGTGGTAATGGATACAAGGAGCGGAATCTTTTGTGATTGCTATCCCAGGGTCCTCCTTTGCGGTCTTGTTGTATCTGACGGCAAAGTAAGGGGTTATGGGGACGTCCGCATTGTGTACAGTTCTGTTTTCTACAAAACTGTGTTTGGTGTTTAGGGCTGAAACACTTCCAACATGCGTGTAGTTCGCGTAAGCGTGCTATCTTTTGAGTGATACTTGAGTACTTATTACAATATTGGAATTTATGCTGCTGGCCACACCCAGTGCATCGCAGGTTAGATACCACCGTGACGTTGGTTGAAAAGATTTGGGGTTCTCCTTGAACTGGGTCTCTTATGCTATCGACGTGTTCTTTACGTCGGATAGCTGTAGACAGATTATCCAGTAGATTCGTCATGCTCCACAGGCCACCAGAATCGAACTCCTTTTTCGCCATTTCGTCTTGGATTTTCTTTGAAAACGTCTCCAAGACCATGGTTCTCATATTGGTGGTGTTGACGACTTCTCCTTGTTTTTCCAGGGTGGCTATGATGGCCTGGATGTCATTGAGATTGTTCCTTAAGGAGCGGTAGTCATCAGGGCATTGTTTCATTGATTTCAGTTTCTTAATCATCTGCATGATTATTCGCCTTGGGTCCTGATACTGGCTTTTTAATTGAGCAATCGCTTTATCGTACGACTCGCCCGTTCGAGGAATCATTTGGAGCGTTCTAGCTGCGTCTCCTTTGCAGCAGTTGATAAGGATTGACAACTTTTCGATGTTTGAATATGGCTGCTTGTGTACCAATTCTTCAAATAATTCCCAAAACGAGTTAAACGTCGATGGGTTACCATAGAAGTTAGGTACTCGAAGTTCATTTCCGAGCAACCTATGTTCCAGCATCCTAACATTGCCTGGTGTCGTTGACTGGTCAAGGATTTGTGGAGAGTGGGATTGGTTTGAACTACCTTGTTGTGGTTCTCTTTTGAATTCTTGTTTGGCGCTTGTTTCTTGGCATAAAAGTTCTACTAGTCTTCTTTCTAGTTTGCGCTTGAAGTCTTCTGCCTGACTGAGTAGTTCTTCTCCTCTTTTACCCTGCCAGTACTCATCGAACTGCTGTTCGATGTCTGCTTTGACTTCTTCTTCAAGAATGTCGTTGATGGACTGATTACATTCGGCGTAGTAGTCGCTGATGTCGTTCTTACGCTGCTCTAGCTGAGACATCAGGTTTTTGACGACTATTTCTTTTGAAATGAGGAACATTTCTAACTCTTGAGCTTGAGTGGGGAAGCGCCATGGCTCCTCAAACTCTTGAGCTTCGAAGAGTAAACCGTTTAACGCGTTGAGTTGTCTAGTGAGCTTTTGTTTGACATTTTTCAGGAGGAATGGTTGCAGCGACATGCTGTTTTGGGTACCTTCTTGTCAACGCGTTGAATAATGAACCTCTTTGAGGGAGGCTCACTGTCGTTCACGACACGGTTGACAGTGCGAGGACAGAGCTTGTCGCAAGGCTTATATTCTGTCGTTGTTATCTATTAACATCGGAATGAAGATTCCTTGTCAATTGTTGTGAGAGTTTCTTGCGAGACAATGACGATGCACATGCTCCTGTGTGAATGTTATGAGAATTGTGGAGTTATCGTTTTGTTTTGAAATCACTAGGTTGGGAATTCCCATGAAAAATATC